AGGTACCCCGAAGATGGAGCTGGAGCTATGGCGCCACAGGTAAGTCCCACTGGCCTCCGGCAGCCATCTCTCTCCAACACTACTACTACTACTACTACTAGCGCCCTGCGCTGAACGCTACTCCTGCAGCTACTAGTGCCCAGCGCTGAAGACTACTCCTGCAGCGCTCCTCCAAAGTGCTGCTGCCGAATCCTGAAGACTGCCTCCTGCCTTCTGCCTAGACTGCACGTGAAGTGCCTGGCCAGTCCCTATGAACTCCCCTCTGCCTGTAGGGCGGGCCAGTCTTATATAGTGCTGGCCCGTCCAGGAGACTGCTCTTGCCAATGCCCAAACGTGCTTAGACCCTGAGGAAGCTTCCGGGAAGTTTCCAGGTAGCTTCTGGCTAAAGCCTGAGGGCTATAGGCCCTTGTTTTCAGGCTGTCAGGCTGAAACGACACAGGGCCCGTAGGCCCTTGTTTTCAGGCTGTCAGGCTGAAGCAGCCAGCGGGCCTGTAGGCCCTGGTTTTCAGGCTGTCAGGCTGAAACAGACACGGGGCCTGTAGGCCCTGGTTTTCAGGCTGTCAGGCTGAAACAGACACGGGGCCTGTGGGCCCAATTTTTCAGGCTGTCAGGCTGAAACAGACACGGGGCCTGTAGGCCCTGGTTTTCAGGCTGTCAGGCTGAAACAGTCACGGGGCCTGTAGGCCCTGGTTTTCAGGCTGTCAGGCTGAAACAGACACGGGGCCTGTAAGGCCTAGTTTTCAGGCTGTCAGGCTGAAACAGCACAGGGCCTGTAAGCCCTCGTTTTCAGGCTTTTAGGCTGAAAACGACACAGGGCCTGTAGGGCCCTTACTTTCCTTGTTTGGTCGGGCCTTGCAGGCCCGTGTGGATGCGCAGTATGCCACGCCACGTCTTGAAAAGAACGCTTGTAGATCTCTCCGCCGCTGATCTTCGCAGATCAGCAGAGAAAAATCACCACATTTTCTTTTCAATATGCGGGGTCCAATAGGCCCCGTTTTTCAATTTGGCGTCATGCAGTCCAGTGGACCACAGACCAGATGAAAACGGCACATCCTGATACACGTCCACTCCAAGCCACAAGTAAACGGATATGACTTTGAGGTGGCTTTTGCTGAGATTATATGCTTCTGCAACGTCCGTATGCTCTGGGGAGAAAGTTATGGGTTTGGTTTGTGATTCGTGAAGTAACAATGCTGTCCGAGGTGCAAGCCCAAGAATGGACCTCGTTCCACTACATGTATCTGGACAGACCGCCAGGCAAGAAACTTTCTGACTGATGACCCACCGTATGTAGAAAATGCTCCCCCTCCACGAGCTGGAACCTCAACCCATAACTTTTTGGACGTCGAGCTATACTCTGGAAGAGCTATAAGTTTTGGCAAGGACAACCTCTCAGCATATCTCATTCAGCTTCTGGGGTGCTGACAACTGATGGTAGTATAGTCCACAACATCGTATGGAGCCGAATTGAAATTTCTGAGCCACAGGGGGTCGGTTTGCTCTACCCCTCCCCCTGAGAGCCATACCTCCTGAACTATTACTCCCCCCCACCCCCTCTCTCTCTGAAAAGCCCAACAAAAAAAATCACACATTGTGGATTCAAACAGATCTCGACGAGTGAATTTTTTAATTCATTTCTATTATAAAAACAGCTCCTTATGGTCCTCGACGAGCGCAATCGGAATCCACCCAAAAAAAAAAAAAAAAAATCATTTAAAAATGGGCATCTCTTTTAAAAACCGGTTTCCCGATTCACCCCCCCTGGGCTGGTCCGGCACAGGGTGGACCGGGGGAAGTGAACCGGCCGGTTGCCAGCCCACCCTTGCTTGGCAGGCAAAAGAGAGAGACACAGATGCAATTGTGAACTCAAAGTGTGAGGCTTTACATTGCACAGTGAACACTAAGAGTTCATGTCATGTGACATCAAGTGCCACGATCACCCCTCTGCCTCCTGCTCAGATGATCTTTCCAGCCACTATCGTGAATATATAGAATAACTCTAGTCATCCTAGATTCGGCATCTCCCACCTGCAATCCCACTGCACTCCCACATTGCATCACATGGTCGTCACCTAGTTCCACTCCCTCCGTAAGTAGTACTCCGAAGGTATACCCGTTAAGTTGCATAGTCATTATCCCCTGCAATATTATGCACGTTAATCAAAAGGTTCTTGTCGTGAATCAACTACAGTCCGGTGCTCAGAGGTCTTGTATGGCTACTCAGTCTGGTTACCAATCAACTGCACTCCCATCTACTTGAACCATGAATATTGTGTGTACTCCAACTCGGTATGTGGCATCCAAGCCCATCGGCCTCTATTCCAGTGTCTTCATGCAAAGGTTACTCTTTCTGATATAACCCCTGGATAGCCTATTTTGACTTTTCTCCTTCCTTTCCTTTCCTTGTCCGTTGAAGTTCGACTTCCCAGATGCCTATCTCGTTACAAGTTACCCATCTCCCGTAGCTATCCATATCCTTCTGACTTCCCATGCGTTTGCAATCCCACTGTCTTTCTGTGTTTATTGGTTCCCATCCGTCCGATAAGATCCCGCCAGATATGGAAGCAGTACGAGTTCGTATACTGGATTCATTGTCACGAGCTTGATCTGGCTCGTTCCCATGTAAGGTTCGATCAATCTTGCTCCCACTGCCTTCGTGTGTCAGCTTCTTAGCACGCCATCGAGTCCATTTCCATGTGCCCAAATTCGATGGGAATTCTTCCCATGAATTAAATCGTCCCATGTACCTTAATGTTGCGCGCATAAACCTGTAGGTGGATCTTGAACTCCAAAATTGTGCAGCCAGTCTTGGAAAACGCTCCCTGCTGGGCCCAAAGTGTCGCATGGTGTCCCATTTTCCGTTGGCGACGATTCCTCTGTTGTGCTGTTTGCGATTTTTTTTTTTGGTTGGTTGGTTGTAGTTTCCCAGTGCAGAGGTAACCAGCTCGAATCTCTATGCTCCCACCGTGAAGTTTTCTTTTTTCGTTTCCCGGTGTTGTTGTTTTCCCCATGTCCCCTGGCTGGACGCTCCTCTGTCTGGCTGTGTGCATTCATTTTTTCTTTTTCGTTTTCCTGGTTTTGTCATTTTCCACATTTTCCCTGGGTTTCCGTTTGGTGGCCCTTTTTCCGCTTCCTTTTTTTTTTTTTTTTTTTTTTTTTTTTTTTTTTTTTTTTAAACAGGGCCTTATGGTCCTGGCTCCTTCTATTCTGGGGAGCGTCACTCCGGTTCCTATTCC